ACTACTATCTGCTTATCAAGAATATCTGATGACATTTAAATTGATGACGTCACAAGTGGTACAAAGAGCACGACTATTGATTACGCATATATGCGTACTTGGTATTCAAGGGGTTAAGGAAGGGTGATTTTCATAGAAGGGGGTGGAGGATTTAAGAACCTAAGGAAAATTCTTAAGAGAAAGAACCAATAACCAACTGAATCATGAGCTGCCACACAGTCTCGTTTGTGAGGTGTAAAGCAACAAGAAAACTGGTGAGCCAAGTGTTCCGTATGACGAGAACAGACGGAACGAGAACGGGCGGAGTGCCTACTGAGATGCTTCTGCCGATCAGACGTTCTTTTTGGGGGGGAAAAGAACGCCTGATCTCAGGTTACCGCGGCCTTTATTCTCGTTCTGTGCCTCGGTAAGGACGCTGACCACCAGCGCTGAGTTGTTGGTGTGAAGGACACAAGTTTCATACCTGTAAAAACTGGGAGACGCTGGGGTCTTTCGTTTTTGAGACCATCTTAGGTCAATACATATTGTTTGGACAGATAATAGCCTGTGTTACAGCCGCCCTCTACGAAAGAAAAAAATTCGGAGAGAGCGTGTGTATGTTGCCGTTGGTAATCGTGCTCTTTGCATAAATTATCTTGTAGCGACTGATATAAAGTAGAACTTACCAGTTTCTTGATCGCTGATGTCCTCCATGCTTTCTCCGCTTCCACGTACTTTTCGTGGCCTGCCCTGAGAAGCTCTTCTCTTCCTGTTTCTTTTCGCCGTAGAGTTCCTTCTGTTATTAGACAAGTCGCCATTTCCTGCATCCTCGTCATCTGTTTCTTGGTCAGTATCTCCCTCATCTACCTCTGCATCATGTCCTGCTGTTTTCTTCTTATTAGCTAATGCTCTCATTTGTCTTCTCTTCCTTCGTCTTTGCAATCGAAGCATTGATAACAACTTTAGCCTGATTTTCTCTGGAAGATCTTTCACAGTCACGTTATCCAGCATTGACAAATCCAATCTTGATATCACGGAAGTTTTTTGATCCGGGTCTTCTTCACCAATTCCATTGATATCTATGTTTATATTCACACGAGCGAAATTGTTGTATTGTTCTTCGTCAAAACCGAGCGCATTAGAAACTCTTCTGATATATTCCTTATCTGTCATATTTTCTTCGGTGCGAAAAACTTTCAACGCTTCCATCTTTGTCCCGGAGTCGATGACACCAAGGCTCAACTCCTCAAGGACAACATCATCTGATGTCAGATAGTCATGTAACGCCCCTTCTGGCAGCGACGCCGTTCCTCCACGGTCTGGATTGGACGAATGAGAAGTGTTTTCGTCGGATTCGTTTTCGTCGATTTGGTCGAGTACTGTCCCGCTTCCAGATACTATGAAACCTTCTTTGATGTCCCTTTGAAGCAGAGCAAAATTGTACAGTAGTAAGACAAATTGAATGATTTTTACGAAGCTGATCATTAGTCTTTCCCTATCACTTTGCGTCACGCTTCTAAACAGTCACGTAACGCTTTTTCATTTTGTCATGTGGCTTCTCTTGTTACGTGACAGCAGCACATTCACAGAAGCTACGCACCTCTCAGATCAGGATCTGCTCAGTATTCAGGATTCCCTCCCTGTTTCACGCAGCTCTATTGTTGTAAGGGCTTGGTTAATTGTTTCTATTGTTTTCTCATTCAATCCTGTTAAGCCTTCTGAGAGGTGCGTGGCGCCTCCACATTCAACCTTGCTCCAGAAACAGGAGCATGGCATGAGATAGCATTATTTCTGGTGACAGTTTACGATCAGTAGCATCGTGAGACAAGTAGAGGAGGCTAGGTATAATGTGAAATGTGAAAATACGTGACATGTGATGTCAGAAGACAATCAGAAAACTTCACTAAATCATGTACGAAAAAAAGTCAATTTGTATAAAAAGAACAGATCAGGTCGGATTGCAGGTAGTCTGTCCGAAGACAATTCCTTTTTTTTTTGTAACGAGTTATTTTTGTGGGCTCGGGGCCACCCCGTTGCGTCCGATCTCGGCGAACTCAAGACAATATAGAGGGTCTGTGGACAAACTAGATTGCCGGTCATACTCGTAAGGATAAGGGTTTCTAACAAACTAAAAACCGTGTCTACAAACCCAAGTCTCCTCTTCGTCTTCTTTTTCCGGTAGTCTTTACGAGGCTTTCTTCCCCTGGCCATATGTATCGCGGGCCCGCGAGTTGGTTGTCGTTTAAACTGACAGTCTTCAGGTACGGTCCCAAATTCTAACCAGTGGTCTTTACAGCGAGGGCAGTGGAACAGAGGCGTACATACTACCCCTGCCATGTAGTCTGTTGTTTTTAACTAGAACAAATGAATCTGAAGCTAATATCTGGAGGCAAATATTAATCAAAGATCTGGTCCCAGCAGGGGTTTCATTAGAGGCCGAGCACCGGGAAAATCGACCTGCTGTGAGGGGGATTTTGCCCACCTGGTTTGACCATCTAGAGGAAAGTTTTTCTTATAGAGGAGTTCAGTTCAACAAGTTTTGTCTGCCTGTGAAAACCAGTTGCCCTCCTACTGAAAACATAAATGAAACCGCTGGGCCCAGTACAGATCGTCTACTCGAAGGTTTGTATGTGTCATAAGGATCCCTTAGAGTCCTCAGTTACGTGTCGCAAACACCCCTGGGATATCGCGTCGTGGAGACCTCTGGGGTCCGCATTTGTTATAAAAAGCGATTCTTGGGAGACCATTATGGTCAAATGGATCATCGTTTGGGAGCAGACTCTCTTAAATCCAAGCGAGTGAGCAGCACTAAACTTAGATACGGGAACCTGCTTGCAAGCCACACACTAACAATGGTGAAGAAGAATCTGACCGCAAGTTAGCTAACACTGGAAATGGACTATTGCCAATACTAACAAGAGAAGCTGTAGATTCGGCAACCCTTTCCAATTCGCACACTGCAATCGACAGTTGCCGTGTAAACAGAAAACACAGACAAGAAATATAACATGACGTTACGGCTGCGTTAGCCTTATACAAAGTCGCTGGTAGGAGACAAGCGATTCATACCGCTGGTCAAATAAATAGAGCCCGCTTTTCACCTGCGTAATATTATTAATTAGCTCTTATTAACCGAACAGGAGATCTGTATGGGAGAATATTGACCAAGACAGAAAGCAGTGAGGTGTATACACACGACCGAGGTCAAGACTCTCCCATACAGACCGACTAAGCTCGGTTAATAAGATGTTTATCATATGGCAAACAAGAAAAATTTACTGTAACTGGTTTGTACTAACTGACATTTTGCTTGCGAACGGCAAGTTCGTACTGTTTTAGTTTGCAACTTCTTCACCGTAAAATGTAACCGGTCTAGATGCTGGTCTAGATCGGAAAATCTAGACCGCGGTAAATATATCAATTTCAGCCAATAAATTCGTGAATTCGGTAATTCCCAGTCCTTGTTAGACACTGAGCCATATAATAAAGTGGCGTAATAAAAAATAGGTACGCAATACGTACATGTGTCCGCTAGTTGTTGATTATTGTGCGTTGAATCTATTCTGTTAAAAAAAGTTACAATGTGGGTTATGGAGGTCGGACAGGTGTGGGGAAAGGGTTCTTTCCATTATGATTAAAAGACAGTTTATTACTGACCTCGACATAGATACCCATCTTGCGAATGAACAGAACACGATTGAGCCCGTCATCTTCAAAATCCTGCACGAAAAGCTCGTCTTCCTCAAACAGTTTGTCAATGAGTGGTTCAAGGTTGGATCTCATCACCTGTTAAACAAACAATTAATGACGAGACATTGCAGCTAAAGGATTGATTTTATAATAATTGCATTTATTATTGTCAAAAACACAAATTGACGTCAGTTTTTCATGTGTCTGTCTTGCTATTGACAATGAACTTTGTCATAACATTGTCAAAGTAGTCGTGGATCTACAGCAACTTTGACGATGTTAAGACGAAATTAATGATCGATAACAGGACAGACGCGTGAAAAACTGATATCAATTTGTTAACTGTCAGACAGTAGCGTATCAGATGCTGTTTGGTAAAGGTACATAAGCCCATAGCTCGTGAATCTTTTTGTGAATTCTCATTTTCAGACGTTTCCTTTGGAGGGGATATCGTTCTCCCCCGAAGAGTGAGATTACTTAATTGAAGCCGAAACTGGGAACAATTGAAGATATTCCCACCTTTACTACACGGTTCCCTCTTACTGTAATGAAAAGTTCATTTTGTTACTGCAGGTTTCTCGACCGTTTAGAAAAAGAAGTTTGCCAGGTACTACAAAATCCTTAGTTGCTGCAACTTCAAGAAAACCCAAAGCCTTTTCCAGTATTCACCTTTTTTCTCCAGAAGATTTATAAGTGTCTTTCATATTTCTAGCCACGTTTCAATGTAACAGCATTTAAAACAAATGTAATGACGAAAATGGCTTTCAAATACTGCTCACTAGAAGTGTAGCCCGCTGACGTATTGCAGGCTTTCGCGACATTTCGCAGACCTGCGCACGCAAGTTACAAGTACTAATAGTGAAGTCTGTACCTCTTCTGGGACCTTTTCAGCGACCTGTTCACTAGTGTCCAGGCCAATATCGGTCTGTGACTTCTTTTGAGACTCGCCCTCAACCAGAAAGTCAAGCGGTTCAGGGATATCAGGGTTTGTTGAACAACTACCACGACGACTACCTAGAACACTGGGTAACACCGGCAGCTGAAGAGAAAATAAAATGGAACTTCTAGGTAGAAAATCAGTGTCATAATCTATCTCTAAGGACATTTTCATACAAAAAACAGTCATTAGGACGCAAAAGCATAGCACTGTCCATCCGATGTGAGGCGAGGTCTTCGTAAGCCTGGGTACTGCATAAATCACAATAAATCTCACAATCTTCACCCGAATTGCTAAGTTGGTTGGGTTTTTTTTTCCTATATTTTTGAGTTCATAATCCCATAATGCCCCGGAAACAGTCCACCAATCACGTGGTGTGCGCTCGGCCCAGGCTCTGCGTCCGCTCGATTGCTGAGTGAGTCAGCCAATCACTGTGCCTTTTCCTCAGTCAACAACTGCAAAACTAAGGTGCGGTATTAGGACAGCTGAGAATTTTTTAAGACAGGAAAGCCTTGCAAACAATGATAGATAGATGCGAGAGACGCGGGATCGAATCCTGTTCGGGACACCAAGTTTTTCTTTCATTTCAGAGACGTGTGTCGAAAGCCTCCTATAATTTGTTTACATCTATCTAACATTGGTATTGGGGCAGTTTCTAATCGATCTTGGATCGATGGGGTAAATCACCCGCTCCTTACAGAACAAAACAGGCGGCGTTTCGGTCACTAGCTTCTACTTACAGTGACCTCTGTGACGTCAACAGGCTCCAGAGAAGACGTCAGAATTCTGCCCTCTGTTCCAGGACCACTCGGTGTGCCCTCAACGTCCACCATTGGAAAAGAAACATTTTTGTCTTTCTCCAAACCAACGCAGAGAAAATCAAGTTTCTCGTCAACCTGCTCTTGAACTAACGTTTTAGGGAACACCTTACCAACCTGGGAAATCTAAATATATGTTTATAACACATTATCAACCCCATCCAGTCTCTCCCAAAGGTAAGGTAAGGTAGAGTCTGTGTCGGATCGAGTGGTCCATGCCACCGCTGCAGCATTAAGTGACTAGGAATATTTCTACCTCCCCTCCCCCCTCCATGAGATGCTAGTCCAACGCAGGGTTACCCCCAGCATTAAATTCTTTCAAGAGCCGGAAATTATGTACCTCATCATGTTTTTCGGAAAATGTGCTCGTTGAGTTTACTCAGTTTGTTTTTTATAACAAGCGTTTTAGCTAAAAGTATTGAAGAGTAAGATTTTTTTGTCCCCTCAGTAGCAAAATCTGGAATGATGGATTGTGCTATAGCGTATTCAAAGTACAGGGCACCTTTATATACTATGAAGACGATATCGGAAACATAAGATCCTTCTTGTCTGATTCCAATAAAATAAAATATAAAGCAGTTGTGTGCCACGGCTAGAGCCCAAGTCTTGAAACATTCAGCCTACACTTTCCTAGTTTATTATTTGAAATCCATCTCCTGGTGTAATACGCTTGTTTCATTTCTAGTTCGTTGCTTCTCTGTATAGTATTGACAGATTCTCTAATTTGACAGGTTTGTACATCACACACACAAAAACAAGAACAAAAAGAAAGTTTAGATATCACAAAAATGTTTCAGTATACCATAGCTCCTTAACAATAACGGTAGTTCAATAGTTCTTACCTTTTTTCTCCTGTCTGATGCAAGACGAGGCAGAATCTCCGTGGCGGTGGATCCTCTGGATTCTTTGAGGCGTGGTAATGATGTTATCATGGTAAAACACTTGATGTTTCACTTAGGTTTTTCACTTAATAATGGAAAGAAATTGTGGTTCTCTGCGATCCTGTTTGTTTTCATTCCTTTATGACGTTCAGTTACACTGCGCGCGCCGAGAAAGAATTCACGCAAGAACATTAGCCAACCGGAAAAAAGGAAAATGCAGCTTGCATTCGGACGCATTTCGCGCGCACCGCGAAAGAAGAACTCCCGCGAGAGAATTCCCTGTTTCAATATATTACGCGCGCCTTGAAAGCTTTCAAAGCACAAAGAAGAGGTTTCCAACAGCTTGGCTGATGCCTCACGTAAACTTTTATATTTCTTTTTATAAATGCGGGCTTTATGTCTCCCAATCTTCGTCATCATGCGCGCACATTAAGTGCAATGATTTTTTCTAATTTCTCTGAAAATGATGCAAATAATATTTCAAGTAGGTCCTCATAAATATTTTATTTTCTTTGCCAGGCTTAACTGTTGATAATGCCTTCATTTGCCAAATTCTTTTTAAGGATGAAGGCAACATATTTCTTGTCACCGATAAAGCTACTCTTTGCAGTTAGTAAGGAGTAGTTGCTAGTTCCCTTTAAGAACACTCGAGTCCTGGAAACGACCTTGGGTCACAAGGGTGTATCGCTTTAGCCACCAGATCACCACCCCAACAGACCAACAACTTTATAAGTGTCTTTCGTAATGAAGTCTGTACTGCTGACAACAGACATGAGGTATTGCAACGTCTTCGGAGAATGTTCTTGAATTGGTCGCGAATGATCGCGATCTCTGTCGCTTGTCGTTACGTGCTTCTCGCTCTTAAGACTAAAGTTGTGACCGTGTTTCCTGACTGACCGCCAAATGAGAAGGAAGGGGCAGGAAGATCGTCTAGAAAATCAAATTCTGTAAGGGAAGCAAAAAAAATAAATAGAATGGGTAAGGACTGGTAAACCAAGAAAACAGACAACTGTGGACTCAGTCACTTCTCAGAGAGACTGTAAGTCGATTAGCTCCTAACTGGTTGAATAGGAGAATCTTTGTTTACAATATTTAGCTCATTAACATGAGTGATATAGTTTGTGATGGAGCTACAAATCTCAATATTGAAAGGGTATAACACGATTGACTGTCCCAAGGAATTTAAGCCTGATGTATTGAATACTTTTTGTGCGACGCGGGTTTAAAAATACAACATTTTACAAAGAATGTATGAGCTCATTAACGCTTTTGGCACCCAGAAATTTTGCAGTTTTTGAAAACCAATTCTCATCGAATATTACGCCCAATGAGCCAAAAATTCACCAATTACCAAGTTTCACAAGCTCTTTAAATGTTTGTAGTCAATTCGTGTCTAGCTTGATGTCCTCTCTGCACAAAGTTGTGTGTTAATGAGGAAAATGTAAATAATGACGTCAGCAAAGATTCTCCTATTGTGGGGGTTTCGCACCCAATTGAATTGGCCCGCAGCATTCACTCTCCCATGTACGCTAAAAGGAGCTACGTCATGGTTTGAGCATCTTGAAAAGTTTAGCCTAAATTTTTCAAGTTCATCGTTTGTAATCCGTGTCAATCTTCTCCATCCTTAACCATCCTTGTTCCATTATGGTTTATTATTATGTATCTGGTGTTTTCCTATTTTAGTAAACTATTAATAATAATAATAATAATAACAATAATAATAGCTGTGCAAATCTTTAATAATAATAATAATAATAATAATAATAATAATAATAATAATAACTACACTACCATGTCAGTCTTTCTAGTTTTTACAAATTAAAACTAATTGGGAACACCAATCTACATTACTCCATAAATAAATAAATAAATAAAATAAGTTTACAATCTAGTATATGTACAATAAAAGAAAAGAAAACCTATATAAATACAGTTTACAAAATCAACAAAAACTAATTTCTACATAAATAGCAATCCTTACATTTATATTGCAATACAATGTCTGACAGGTCGAGCGCCCTGATTTGATTTTTAAAAGCATTTAAGGAGTCGGCCAATTTAATAGAGTTATGCAGCTTCAACCAAATGAAAGGTCCCATATATCTTAACCTATTTTCAGGTCTCCTTCAATGTAAAGGTAACTTTGTATGTGGCCAAAATAACTCAGAACACTGTAACTGAGCTCCTTTAATCACATGACCCAATTTTCCAAAAGATGAGTCCCTTGGTGATAAATTTGGGAAATCTATCCAAAGCAAGCTCAAAAACGCCAGGAATTCTGCAAAATTTGGATTTAGGTTTTTTTTTTTTAAAGAACGAGAAATAGTCAGGTTTGCAACTTCTGGTTGGAACCTAACCACCTAAGATCTAATTGTCTTGGAAGCTAAATGACCAGATATCCTCAGAGAAGGGAATCCAACTGAATGAGATCTTTGTCACAATGACAACTGCTGATACTTACTATCTTTGAACTGAGAAAGGAGCTCAGCCTTTGTCCAGTTACAGGAGCATAAGATAAAGAGGCCATCAGATGCCAGTAAACTACACACATTGGTAATGTACTTTGCTCTGCAGCCCTCAACATCTTCTGGATTAAGACTGATCGCATCATAAGAACCCTTATCAAGGCAAACATCAAACTTCCCTTCAGGGCACAGGGTCATGCTCTCTGTAGCACTCAACATGTCACAGACCTGTTAAGCAGAGATAATACCAGTAGTTGTTTTAGGCTCACCAGTAAGGGAACACATTTGGGGAGATACACCCTAGTGTTTAAAATGGAGACTCCATCAAATACACCGAATTGCAATAACGTTGCCATAGAAAAAAGTAAAAAGCCAAATAGGAATTAATAAGGACAATTTAAATTTCCATTGTTCTTAAATACTGTACATGAATGAAAAATATATTTTTCATTCATGTCATTTGTGTACATTATATTTTTCATTCATGTACAGTATCTGAGAACAATGGAAATTTAAATTTGGCTAATTAATTCCTATTTCGCTTTTTGCCTTTTGCTTTTTTCCAAGAAAACGTGATTGCAATTAGGTGTAACTGAAAAAAATCTAGTTTTCATTAATTTTTTGATCCCACTTGTAAAACAGTTGGCAGCACTTGTGTCACAAATTACACCCAAAGGAATTCTGTAAAACAGTGTCCATTTATTGGAAAAGTTGTGACAAAAGAAATCAATTTTCAGAAATTTGCACTACAGGTCCACTAGGTTGTATTGCAATAATAATTATTAGTATAGGTAATAACATGAATGTGTGTGATATGCGAAATACGAAATGATATTATGAAATTCTCTCAAAACAAATAATTATCATGAGTAGTGTAAATCCTAGTCTCTCCACAGACCCTCTATTTTGTCTCAAGCTCACTGAGATGGCAATAAACTATTTTAATATTTAAAATCGCAAGGGATATGAATGAGCAAAAATGCAAGGGGGCGAGATAGGGAAAAGACAAAAATAGATCACCCACTTTGCAGTCGCTCTGGCATGCTTGAACAAAAATAACTCGCAGAAAAAAATAGAATCTCATAGTCAGAACTATTTTTCTTGGACAATTCTGTCCAAGGGGGAAAGGTGCAATGAGGTTAACCCTATGTAAAGCACCAACCCGTGAGACAAGGCCAGACCACAACACCGGGAACTTCATGCCCCACTCTTTGCGATAAGTGTTTGGGTTCTTTAACATCCCCTACTAACCAAGTAACACTGAAGATGCAGGAGATGGAGCCTACCATTTAAAGTCCTCAATTGCATGAGCTTTTATATGATTATTAACTTACTATGACTGACAAAATTTTGAATGAGCAGACATTAATTTGTACAGCAGTACAAATTGAAAATTGACAATAAATTGGCTGGTTGCAGCCAATCACAATGAAGTAGTTTTATTAGTCATATAATAAACATTATCTTCACAGGACATCTTAGGCTATACTTTCCTTGGCAATAACTTTGGACCAATGGGCACCTAAGAGTGCTGGGTCACGTCACTTATTTTGGGAGTTTCATATATTTTCTGAAAAAGAGCTTAATTTGTTAGTAAACACACCTGATATTTAATGTTCACTTGTTTATTTTCTGCAATGGATGAGGCTAATTGTATAGCACCCTCTGAATAATCCACTCCAACAAGGTTTGTGTAACCATGTTCTGCCTGAAAAGAAATAAGCAAACTAAGACATAGAAAGAAATTTTCACTTGTCATCAGCCACAACTAGAATAATAAGTGGTAACAGCTTAGAAGAAAACAAGTGAATATATGCATGGAAGTCATATATTTGAAGTGCAGAGAAAGATATGAAGACTGATCATCACAGTTATGCACACAACATAAGCACTTCGGTTAATTTCATGACTGCTTAAGTTGTGATTATAATGCTGATGATCAGTCTTCATATCTTTCTGCGCAGTTCAAATATATGACTTTCATACATTCACTTGTATACTTCACCATGTACAGGTATATTACAAACTCACAGTGTGACCAGCTCCTAGTTGGCTTGATAGCTCAGTTGGTAGAGTGCTGTGCTGGTATCGCAGAGGTCATGGGTTTGAATTCCGTCCAGACCAAAATATTTTTTCAGGCTTTTAAAATGATCAGTCTTCATAGCTTAGAAGAAACTACAAATGTACCTAAGGCCTTCTAAAGCCAAGAGAAACCCTAAACCTAAGCCTCATTACAAGTAACATGTTGTCAGCAAAATTAAAGCTGTTCAACAGTTATTTGATTTTCATAAAGTTTGTAAAAAGGCTTCTGGTAATTAATATTATTATTATAGCTTGATGAGGCAACAACTCTTTTTGAAAATCCTTATCATATTAAGGAAAAAATTGTTATGTTAAACCAAATTCTTGCTTCAAGAATTGATATAGAAACGGTATGAAAGACAGTGACAAAAATCCAATATTCGATAGGCAGTTTGAGTATGATTCCCTAACAAAACCAAACTAAAAACTTTAACAAAGCTTTCAGAAATTCGTTTGAGCAAGCTTTTATCCAGATGGATGTGCAGAAATCTGGTGGACTGATATTTAGGGAATGTTGTATTTTTCAAATCTTGCTCTATTAATTGTTGACTTGAACTGACTCCATAGCAAATATGGATGTCTACTTTTCAAATCCTGGGTTAAAGCAGGCATTTTAGTTCATTTTCTAATGGGGGTGAAGCAAAGGGATGCAAGAATAATAATTATTGATAGCCTGAGTCAGGAAAAAGAGGTGGTGTCAGAAGATGTGAATAGGCCACTTTGGAGTTGCCTTTTGCGTCTCTGTCAAAATGAGTCTTCTACCTACATGTTCATTTTCATGCAAATCAAACTCATTTTCATATGAAAGATTTTGCACAAAGACTCTTTTTGAAACAGAGGTACAAGGTAACTTGGAAATGGCCTATTGTTCCTCTTTTTAGTTACCGGTATAATCATTGTAACACCTTGCGTTCCAGGTGACGGGAATCTGACACCAAGTTAGAACATTCCTTTGAAGTTAGTGGTAATCTTGGAAGCATGTTTAAGGATCTTAAAACATTTCTACTAATTTTCTGTTTCAAGAAATAAATTATAATGGGGTAACCATACCAGGTTCACAAGAAGTATGCCATTTCCACATCCTACATCTAAGAATGATGATGATTTTGTTATCTTTTCACAACTTTTTATCCATTTAACTATTCGGTAAAGGCTACTTTCTCCAAACCTATGAATGTGAAGAGTAAATATTAGAAGTTAAATAGGAAAGCTTCTAAACGGTCTATCCCCTATGTTACCAGTGTCGATTCCCATATAACCTGACACCCATCAAGTATTATAATGATAACAATAGTTTGATGGTGGTGGCAACATTGATTATAGACTATGAGCAGTCCCTCTTTCACTTAGTCTATCATGCTGCCATTTTTTTCTCCCAGCTTTCTTTCCCCTCACACATGATGGACCAAGCGAAAGAACAACTACATGTAGTCTACAATGAGTATTTTTTATGATGATGATGATTACAACAAGGAGGACAACAACGTCCACAATGATGATGGTGAAGATGATTAAAAGGAGGAGGAAATTCAGATTTTAAACACAAAAGATTTTATCTCCTACATTAACATGTTGATTTCAGAAAAGTTGCTGGAGGCTAATGTTCACTCTGGATGAACCTTTTTTGACCAAAGATTAAAAGGTCTTTACTTCTCTGTTTTTTTTTACATCGATGGGTCTCTAAGTTCCCAGAGGCAGGTTGTCCAAAACTATTTTGTGAAAAGGATTTCATTTGTGAAATTTTCAGTGTAATGACAAATAAAAATTCAAGAAATCATGATGCCTTTGCTCTTTAATTGTCATTATAAAAGCCTTCAATTTGTTTTCATCCCCAGACCCCTTACTAGGACTCTGCTCGCAAACGAGGTTCTTGCTCAATCCATGAGCTTTCTGTTTTCAATGATAGAACTGGCTGATTTGAATATGTTTTGCAGTGTAATTAGCCAAATAACATGCCTACGAAAGCGAAAGTTACGAAATTGGAGAATAGACTCAGAGATTGTTGCCGTTTTGCACTACGAAAGCTGAGTCTGCCACAACGAATTGTGATCCTGAAAACAATGATCAAGATGGAAGCTTCCAAGCCTACTGCCTACTAGCTCTGAGGAACGAAAAAAGTTTTGGTTAACGTTTTATTAGCTGTTAGAGAGTTACAGGTGTGTTATGTACTGTTCATGCATGGCTCAAGTTTTAAATTGTAAATGCAACTTTACTTGTCACTCTAAATCTAAACTGAGCATGTCTCAGCGATGTTGATGTCAGACTACTTGGTGTTAAGTTTAATCAGTTCCAGTTCAGAATGCATAGTTCAACCTCAGTGAAAGGTTATAAAATTTGTGTTAGCTATATTCTGTGACTGTATGCTTTAACCTAGCTTGAAATCCAGTAAAAAGTATAAAATAACAGCAATCAAGAATTATGTATTGTTTGTCGCAATTTTTTTATGGCCCATTTATTTACCCTAATGACCCAAACTTTTCATAAAAATGAATGGCCCATAATGTTCCGATGCCATGGGCCATAGGCTCATTTGCCTGTTTTGCCTTCCGAAATAACCTGTTACATGTAGCTACACGTACAATTAACATTTTACCAGACTTCTCCAACATCACCAGTGTCATTGAAGTTAACCAGTTCTTGTGAGTATGCATCATCCCAGCTAAAATAACATAAATAAAGAAATTTCAAATTAAAACCAAGAAAATTTTCTCCTATATAAGATGTACTCTTATACCCTTGCCACTCTGTAGGCCTTTCCACAAATATCTAGGTATTTTTGGGATTTTCAGAAGTTTCCAAGATATTTAGAAATATTAAGATATTTAGAAAATTATAAAGGATATTTGGAAATATTCATATATTTTGTGGGGCTTATGGCTGTATTTTTCCTCCCTATCAGGGTCCAAAATTGCGCTTTCCTGATCGCCAATGCAACTAAAAATTTTGCACTGGCAACCAGAATTTCACAACTGGTTGCCAGCGGGCGATTAACTATTTCACGCCACGATAATTATACAAACAATAACTTTGATTTTCAGCCAAATTGATTGAAATAAAATTCAAAGCCGCCCGCCAATTGGCCACTTTTTACCTTTCCGCTGCTTATAAAGTATAAAACCGATTTTCCTGTCATTAGAAATCTACCACAACGTTTCACAGTCACGATCAGTGCGAAGCCTCGCCGTTGTGTTTCTTCAGCAGTTTCCTGTAACATACGTATTGCAGACACAAGAGACTGTGCGTTCTTTGGTCATGAATATTTATCCAGTCGATGTGGTGTCCAAAGATGTTCTGCAATCTTTCCGTAATTTATTACAAAGTGGAGACGGAACATCCGCGGAGAGATTAGTTGAAGATTTAGATATTCTCTGGGCATCTGTCAAAGTGGTCAAAAGATGATTTCAGCACTGGTTTGATTCCTGATGACATCCATTGTAAATATTTTGCCGGCAAAAATGGAAAAATGTACCGAGATGGACGGGCGGGAAGGAAACCATCCAATCAAAAAGTCGTCAGCTAAACGCAAGTTTCTACCCCCAATGGAAAGATGAATTTTCATGGAGGGTCTTGACAGAACGCGAAAGGAAAGATCATTTTGAACATAGAGCAACGAACCAAATGCGTTTTTCAGTCGGGTACATTTCTTCTCCAAAAGATAGAGACAAGAAAAAGTATAAAGTTGACTTGAAACATTTGGCAGTCACACGAAACTGCGTATATGGCCAGCATTTGATTCGTTTGTCATGGTTTTTCAGTGGTAAGTGTATAAATAATCAGCGTGTTTGAATTTAATCTTATTCATTAGCAGAAAAATCGACATTGAGGCCCCAAATGCATTCTCTTCGTTCTGATTCTTAAAAGAAAAATAAGCGACCACAATTTTCCATCTTGCTACCAAAAATTTTGGTTTGTGTTTTGCTGTCAAGGAAAAATTTTATTGACACTTTTTGGTGACCAAATTTTTCCCTATGGCGACTGAACAAAAATTTCAGTTGCCAGTTGGTGCCTGCCTAAAAAAGTTAATTTTGGACCCTGCCTATTCTCAGTTTTATGCCAGAAACAATCCAGTTCAGCAATTTCCCACTCAAAAAATGAATTCCATACCACTAAAGTGCTAAAGGCGCAATTTTCGAAAATGACTGCTGCTGGTGACATTGACGCGCCTGAATCTTCTTCCTCAACTCCTACTACTGTGAGAAAATTTTGAAAATCTTGGCCCAGGTGATTTTTATGACAAAAATTTTGTGATATTTAGGAGATTTTTTTGAGAATTTCCAGAAAGATATTTAGGAAATTTTACGTCATATTTGTGGAAAGACCTACCACTCTGTCATAATAGATAAACCAACAGTACAGGTATTTCCTTAAAATCTCAGCTATTAAAATTGCTTTATGAATGGGAGGAGTCCTTTGAATTCTGTGTTGTTAATAACAGCTTTAGACTTAAGATACCACAGTTCTTGTGTTGCATTATTTGGGAAAGATCGATACTTTACAACACTGGTAGCTCAAAGCCGCGCTATCAAACTCAGTTAAAAAATACATCCAAAAGCAGTCTCAGTCAGTCTTCATTTTGAAGCACATGGAGATTATGACAAACGACGATAGCAACTTTTCTATTATTATGTTTATATTAGTAATCCTGAAGAGCATGGATTAGCGTGGTAGAACTCAACAATTTCTCGCGCGCACAGAATTTCTTGTGTCGCATGGCCTGAGTGTAAGTGTAGATCATGAAGTATGAGTCTCCTCACAAAGCTACGACGCAAAATCTATTTTAGCACTTTCTCTCCGATCTTTTACAACATAAGTACACGTCTATTTGTATTAGAAACTTACTACTCCTTTGTTCCGAGCTTGGACGCTGGAAGTTCCCCTGAATCTTCTTCAGCTGTTCCGTCCGCCATGTTGGATTTAGGCGCAAGCTGTCATCAGCGGGTTTCCCCAACTTACCGTGAGAGACTGGTTGTTATCAATAATGGCGGATGGACTGGAAGGCACAGCTCGTGAAGAAACAACGACTTTAAGCAAGAAAATATCAAAACGAAGCCTCAAAAGACTACAAGTACGTGAAAATATGATGTCAATTTATGGATCTTTCCAGAATCATCGAAATCCATGGATGAGATAAGGACAATCCGACAGTATAAAGAATTACAACTGTACAACCCTAGCTAGGGTCCCTTTTTAGACTGACCAAACCTGGATCCATTGATTGCCGTCCATAGTTTGTCGTAATCGATCGCAGATTTGACCGAATTCTTGAAGACTGGTTGTGGCCGAAATTCTGTCTTTTGAACTGCTCTTGTTCCTGGTTTTGACCGGGGTAGGAGAATTGTGGTGGGGGGTGGACTTTTAAGCAATTTAAGGCTTACAATTTTTCAGGACAGAAGAAAAGCCCTCAGGCCCCTTTCATGAGCCTTCCAGTACAGAAAACTGTGCATCTTTTCAATGAAGGGGATTGGTGCAAAGATTTTATTGTTCTTAACATGACAACACACCTTTCAACCTGTAGAAACTGTAAATATGAAGAGTCTGGTCATAAGACATTGAGATCAACTGAAATATTAGATTTGGGGTAGATATTGAGAAGAGCTTATTTTTAGAGGAGTTTTACAGCTTGGGTGTNTCCACTCCAACAAGGTTTGTGTAACCATGTTCTGCCTGAAAAGAAATAAGCAAACTAAGACATAGAAAGAAATTTTCACTTGTCATCAGCCACAACTAGAATAATAAGTGGTAACAGCTTAGAAGAAAACAAGTGAATATATGCATGGAAGTCATATATTTGAAGTGCAGAGAAAGATATGAAGACTGATCATCACAGTTATGCACACAACATAAGCACTTCGGTTAATTTCATGACTGCTTAAGTTGTGATTATAATGCTGATGATCAGTCTTCATATCTTTCTGCGCAGTTCAAATATATGACTTTCATACATTCACTTGTATACTTCACCATGTACAGGTATATTACAAACTCACAGTGTGACCAGCTCCTAGTTGGCTTGATAGCTCAGTTGGTAGAGCGCTGTGCTGGTATCGCAGAGGTCATGGGTTTGAATTCCGTCCAGACCAAAATATTTTTTCAGGCTTTTAAAATGATCAGTCTTCATAGCTTAGAAGAAACTACAAATGTACCTAAGGCCTTCTAAAGCCAAGAGAAACCCTAAACCTAAGCCTCATTACAAGTAACATGTTGTCAGCAAAATTAAAGCTGTTCAACAGTTATTTGATTTTCATAAAGTTTGTAAAAAGGCTTCTGGTAATTAATATTATTATTATAGCTTGATGAGGCAACAACTCTTTTTGAAAATCCTTATCATATTAAGGAAAAAATTGTTATGTTAAACCAAATTCTTGCTTCAAGAATTGATATAGAAACGGTATGAAAGACAGTGACAAAAATCCAATATTCGATAGGCAGTTTGAGTATGATTCCCTAACAAAACCAAACTAAAAACTTTAACAAAGCTTTCAGAAATTCGTTTGAGCAAGCTTTTATCCAGATGGATGTGCAGAAATCTGGTGGACTGATATTTAGGGAATGTTGTATTTTTCAAATCTTGCTCTATTAATTGTTGACTTGAACTGACTCCATAGCAAATATGGATGTCTACTTTTCAAATCCTGGGTTAAAGCAGGCATTTTAGTTCATTTTCTAATGGGGGTGAAGCAAAGGGATGCAAGAATAATAATTATTGATAGCCTGAGTCAGGAAAAAGAGGTGGTGTCAGAAGATGTGAATAGGCCACTTTGGAGTTGCCTTTTGCGTCTCTGTCAAAATGAGTCTTCTACCTACATGTTCATTTTCATGCAAATCAAACTCATTTTCATATGAAAGATTTTGCACAAAGACTCTTTTTGAAACAGAGGTACAAGGTAACTTGGAAATGGCCTATTGTTCCTCTTTTTAGTTACCGGTATAATCATTGTAACACCTTGCGTTCCAGGTGACGGGAATCTGACACCAAGTTAGAACATTCCTTTGAAGTTAGTGGTAATCTTGGAAGCATGTTTAAGGATCTTAAAACATTTCTACTAATTTTCTGTTTCAAGAAATAAATTATAATGGGGTAACCATACCAGGTTCACAAGAAGTATGCCATTTCCACATCCTACATCTAAGAATGATGATGATTTTGTTATCTTTTCACAACTTTTTATCCATTTAACTATTCGGTAAAGGCTACTTTCTCCAAACCTATGAATGTGAAGAGTAAATATTAGAAGTTAAATAGGAAAGCTTCTAAACGGTCTATCCCCTATGTTACCAGTGTCGATTCCCATATAACCTGACACCCATCAAGTATTATAATGATAACAATAGTTTGATGGTGGTGGCAACATTGATTATAGACTATGAGCAGTCCCTCTTTCACTTAGTCTATCATGCTGCCATTTTTTTCTCCCAGCTTTCTTTCCCCTCACACATGATGGACCAAGCGAAAGAACAACTACATGTAGTCTACAATGAGTATTTTTTATGATGATGATGATTACAACAAGGAGGACAACAACGTCCACAATGATGATGGTGAAGATGATTAAAAGGAGGAGGAAATTCAGATTTTAAACACAAAAGATTTTATCTCCTACATTAACATGTTGATTTCAGAAAAGTTGCTGGAGGCTAATGTTCACTCTGGATGAACCTTTTTTGACCAAAGATTAAAAGGTCTTTACTTCTCTGTTTTTTTTTACATCGATGGGTCTCTAAGTTCCCAGAGGCAGGTTGTCCAAAACTATTTTGTGAAAAGGATTTCATTTGTGAAATTTTCAGTGTAATGACAAATAAAAATTCAAGAAATCATGATGCCTTTGCTCTTTAATTGTCATTATAAAAGCCTTCAATTTGTTTTCATCCCCAGACCCCTTACTAGGACTCTGCTCGCAAACGAGGTTCTTGCTCAATCCATGAGCTTTCTGTTTTCAATGATAGAACTGGCTGATTTGAATATGTTTTGCAGTGTAATTAGCCAAATAACATGCCTACGAAAGCGAAAGTTACGAAATTGGAGAATAGACTCAGAGATTGTTGCCGTTTTGCACTACGAAAGCTGAGTCTGCCACAACGAATTGTGATCCTGAAAACAATGATCAAGATGGAAGCTTCCAAGCCTACTGCCTACTAGCTCTGAGGAACGAAAAAAGTTTTGGTTAACGTTTTATTAGCTGTTAGAGAGTTACAGGTGTGTTATGTACTGTTCATGCATGGCTCAAGTTTTAAATTGTAAATGCAACTTTACTTGTCACTCTAAATCTAAACTGAGCATGTCTCAGCGATGTTGATGTCAGACTACTTGGTGTTAAGTTTAATCAGTTCCAGTTCAGAATGCATAGTTCAACCTCAGTGAAAGGTTATAAAATTTGTGTTAGCTATATTCTGTGACTGTATGCTTTAACCTAGCTTGAAATCCAGTAAAAAGTATAAAATAACAGCAATCAAGAATTATGTATTGTTTGTCGCAATTTTTTTATGGCCCATTTATTTACCCTAATGACCCAAACTTTTCATAAAAATGAATGGCCCATAATGTTCCGATGCCATGGGCCATAGGCTCATTTGCCTGTTTTGCCTTCCGAAATAACCTGTTACATGTAGCTACACGTACAATTAACATTTTACCAGACTTCTCCAACATCACCAGTGTCATTGAAGTTAACCAGTTCTTGTGAGTATGCATCATCCCAGCTAAAATAACATAAATAAAGAAATTTCAAATTAAAACCAAGAAAATTTTCTCCTATATAAGATGTACTCTTATACCCTTGCCACTCTGTAGGCCTTTCCACAAATATCTAGGTATTTTTGGGATTTTCAGAAGTTTCCAAGATATTTAGAAATATTAAGATATTTAGAAAATTATAAAGGATATTTGGAAATATTCATATATTTTGTGGGGCTTATGGCTGTATTTTTCCTCCCTATCAGGGTCCAAAATTGCGCTTTCCTGGTCGCCAATGCAACTAAAAATTTTGCACTGGCAACCAGAATTTCACAACTGGTTGCCAGCGGGCAATTAACTATTTCACACCACGATAATTATACAAACAATAACTTTGATTTTCAGCCAAATTGATTGAAATAAAATTCAAAGCTGCCCGCCAATTGGCCACTTTTTACCTTTCCGCTGCCTTTAAAGTATAAAACCGATTTTCCTGTCATTAGAAATCTACCACAACGTTTCACAGTCACGATCAGTGCGAAGCCTCGCCATCGTGTTTCTTCAGCAGTTTCCTGTAACATACGTATTGCAGACACAAGAGACTGTGCGTTCTTTGGTCATGAATATTTATCCAGTCGATGTGGTGTCCAAAGATGTTCTGCAATCTTTCCGTAATTTATTACAAAGTGGAGACGGAACATCCGCGGAGAGATTAGTTGAAGATTTAGATATTCTCTGGGCATCTGTCAAAGTGGTCAAAAGATGATTTCAGCACTGGTTTGATTCCTGATGACATCCATTGTAAATATTTTGCCGGCAAAAATGGAAAAATGTACCGAGATGGACGGGCGGGAAGGAAACCATCCAATCAAAAAGTCGTCAGCTAAACGCAAGTTTCTACCCCCAATGGAAAGATGAATTTTCATGGAGGGTCTTGACAGAACGCGAAAGGAAAGATCATTTTGAACATAGAGCAACGAACCAAATGCGTTTTTCAGTCGGGTACATTTCTTCTCCAAAAGATAGAGACAAGAAAAAGTATAAAGTTGACTTGAAACATTTGGCAGTCACACGAAACTGCGTATATGGCCAGCATTTGATTCGTTTGTCATGGTTTTTCAGTGGTAAGTGTATAAATAATCAGCGTGTTTGAATTTAATCTTATTCATTAGCAGAAAAATCGACATTGAGGCCCCAAATGCATTCTCTTCGTTCTGATTCTTAAAAGAAAAATAAGCGACCACAATTTTCCATCTTGCTACCAAAAATTTTGGTTTGTGTTTTGCTGTCAAGGAAAAATTTTATTGACACTTTTTGGTGACCAAATTTTTCCCTATGGCGACTGAACAAAAATTTCAGTTGCCAGTTGGTGCCTGCCTAAAAAAGTTAATTTTGGACCCTGCCTATTCTCAGTTTTATGCCAGAAACAATCCAGTTCAGCAATTTCCCACTCAAAAAATGAATTCCATACCACTAAAGTGCTAAAGGCGCAATTTTCGAAAATGACTGCTGCTGGTGACATTGACGCGCCTGAATCTTCTTCCTCAACTCCTACTACTGTGAGAAAATTTTGAAAATCTTGGCCCAGGTGATTTTTATGACAAAAATTTTGTGATATTTAGGAGATTTTTTTGAGAATTTCCAGAAAGATATTTAGGAAATTTTACGTCATATTTGTGGAAAGACCTACCACTCTGTCATAATAGATAAACCAACAGTACAGGTATTTCCTTAAAATCTCAGCTATTAAAATTGCTTTATGAATGGGAGGAGTCCTTTGAATTCTGTGTTGTTAATAACAGCTTTAGACTTAAGATACCACAGTTCTTGTGTTGCATTATTTGGGAAAGATCGATACTTTACAACACTGGTAGCTCAAAGCCGCGCTATCAAACTCAGTTAAAAAATACATCCAAAAGCAGTCTCAGTCAGTCTTCATTTTGAAGCACATGGAGATTATGACAAACGACGATAGCAACTTTTCTATTATTATGTTTATATTAGTAATCCTGAAGAGCATGGATTAGCGTGGTAGAACTCAACAATTTCTCGCGCGCACAGAATTTCTTGTGTCGCATGGCCTGAGTGTAAGTGTAGATCATGAAGTATGAGTCTCCTCACAAAGCTACGACGCAAAATCTATTTTAGCACTTTCTCTCCGATCTTTTACAACATAAGTACACGTCTATTTGTATTAGAAACTTACTACTCCTTTGTTCCGAGCTTGGACGCTGGAAGTTCCCCTGAATCTTCTTCAGCTGTTCCGTCCGCCATGTTGGATTTAGGCGCAAGCTGTCATCAGCGGGTTTCCCCAACTTACCGTGAGAGACTGGTTGTTATCAATAATGGCGGATGGACTGGAAGGCACAGCTCGTGAAGAAACAACGACTTTAAGCAAGAAAATATCAAAACGAAGCCTCAAAAGACTACAAGTACGTGAAAATATGATGTCAATTTATGGATCTTTCCAGAATCATCGAAATCCATGGATGAGATAAGGACAATCCGACAGTATAAAGAATTACAACTGTACAACCCTAGCTAGGGTCCCTTTTTAGACTGACCAAACCTGGATCCATTGATTGCCGTCCATAGTTTGTCGTAATCGATCGCAGATTTGACCGAATTCTTGAAGACTGGTTGTGGCCGAAATTCTGTCTTTTGAACTGCTCTTGTTCCTGGTTTTGACCGGGGTAGGAGAATTGTGGTGGGGGGTGGACTTTTAAGCAATTTAAGGCTTACAATTTTTCAGGACAGAAGAAAAGCCCTCAGGCCCCTTTCATGAGCCTTCCAGTACAGAAAACTGTGCATCTTTTCAATGAAGGGGATTGGTGCAAAGATTTTATTGTTCTTAACATGACAACACACCTTTCAACCTGTAGAAACTGTAAATATGAAGAGTCTGGTCATAAGACATTGAGATCAACTGAAATATTAGATTTGGGGTAGATATTGAGAAGAGCTTATTTTTAGAGGAGTTTTACAGCTTGGGTGTTGACATACATGTGGTTAAGAAAACCAACAGTATAATCATGCTTTCCTGACTTTCCTGGAACTTTTGTTTCTTTCAGACTGAAGCTGCTTCAAAGTTGAAATGCAAATTATGTCCCAACAAGAAATTTAGCTCTCTGAAAATGTATGATGACCATATGATATCGAAAAAGCACAGAAAAAATGAATTACGGAAAGATACTGTGGGGGTTTGGGTTTGCCAGGCCTGTGATCTAGTGCTGAGCTCACAGTCAGAGTGGGTGAGTATTGTATGTTTTGAAGTTCTACAGGTAATCAAAATGTAAACCTAGCAAAATACATTTTGAGTTAGTAGGACTTTAAATCAGCAAATGTGGCATCTAATCAAATAGCATTATTTGACCTTTTTTCTGTATATTCTAGAGTGAGAAACATTGGTGGTAACCAGCTCGAAAGCCATTGGTTACTTTGGTTACCACGCACAATATCTTTTTAGTCTTTTCCCTACCCATATGTTACAAGTATGTCTCTTTTTTTTTTCATGTGCTATAATACTAACTTAAGTAAGCACTGTAAATAGTGCACAATAAAGATGTTGAGATGAGTTGAATGAGCTAATGTTCAATGTAAAGGAGAATTCAAGACATCTGTTGAATGTGGTGCAAAGTCTGATAATAATAGCTAGTGAATTACTCCCTTAAAGTGTTTTCTTATCGTTGTGATCTCTAGGGAAAGCATCTCTGTGGTCGTAGGCATCATGAAAAACTCAAGGAGTGGAGTGTAACACTGTTTCCAACTACTTATCCAATCACGGAACGAGAGATAGATCTCCTGGATGACTCTCATTATGAAGAAATAGAAGATGAATAGTGGATTGGTGAATTAATAACTAGCAGAGTTCAAAACTCAGATGCAAGAAGATCGAGTGAACTCGTCAGTCTCAAGATTGAAATTTTAATTCCCCTTACTTATTATGAGAAATTTGGTTTCAATATGTAAGGAGAAGTATGGTATTGATCGTTCTTGGAGATGCTGGTGATGGATTGTACGTTTGGGTTGCGACGAAGTTGCGTTGAAAACAAAACGGAAGGAACGAGGACGACCGCGAAGCTAGATTCCAAATGGAGAAAAAAAGAACAGTTCTTTCCTGGAAGTGGTGGCACTGAGCACTGAGCGAGGGATAGACTGTATTTTGAAGCTGCTCTTGTTAGAACTCAAATTGCTACCATAAACTGAAAGATGAAACAGAAACTGAAATAGACATGTAAATAAAAAAATAAATTTAGTTCGAAAGTAGTTTGCGATTAGTATGATCTATGGCGTCACGCTGTCAAACTTCCTCCCATAGGTCCGGTTATGTGGAAGTATGCTTAAATTGACAAATATAGTTAAATCATTGCACTGATCTCTGTTTCCGATGTTTTCTGTACCCGAGAGGCGAACTCGATATCTTCGGAGTGATTATCAACTTCGACCCAGGCAGTGATATAAATATCCAAAGTCACGAAATAATCTCTTAGATTTGTATGGCGANTTACTAATGTCGCTCAGTACAAAGGCTAGGGAGAGGCAAAAGAAAGCGCACGGCGAACGCTGGGAAGCTTTCCCAACCGGCATCCCCTGCACTCTCACCTGGTCCCCTTTCTAACCCCCGGTCCAACCCCTCAAGGGAGCCACTGGGAAGGACAGATTACTAATGCTGTGATGTTTGCTGTAATGCAAGATTAGATATTAATAGGTCACCACATCTTAGACTACTCGGCAGAGGTCTGAACGTTAAGAAAACTCGAAGTTAGTTTACAATGTTCTGGGATTTCACCAACCCAGTAAGTCACGAAACGCAATAATGAAATTTTCCCATCGTAAGCGGTCTAGCTTACGAAGAAACTTTCCAAAATCGTTTTTTCGGGAGTTCCTTTATTTTCGCGAAACAGGGGGTCGGATTAAGCTCTATATTTGTAAGGAAACAAAGAAGAAAATCAACTTGACATGCAAGGTGCTATAGCTAGGTACAAACGTGCAAGAGGATTAGAGAGTATTTTCCCCACGACACTTCGAGTTGAATAGGTTATAGGGAGGTAAAAGAAGTAATAATTTAGACGAGTTTTGACCGATTTATAATTCTCTTTAGTTGGCCATGTTTTCAGTTCTCTGATGGTCCATTTGATTACTACAGGATTAAACTGCGTCCACGCGTGCTACGAAACGTTTCCCAGCAAGACATCTCTGTCACAGTCCTGGGTCAAAAGCTAAGCATGCCAATTTGTGTTTCACCTGTTTCTTTCCAAGCGATGGCGCATCCAGATGGAGAACTTGCCACAGTCAGAGGTAAGCTTGCAGGTAACTCAGCTGGTTTATAGTACGAAGGACAACCGCATTTGTTGTTGCAAAGAAAATGAGATTAATTAACAAAGGGGTGGATTTCTTCCAGGCACCAGTTTATTTCATGTTACTTCCCATCTAGCAATACAGTAAATACCCGCGTGTAAGAAACTACATTTTTTTGAAGTCTGGCATAGTAGTTTCTTGTATTTGGATACTTATTGGAAAGCTAGGCTATGTAGGTTCTTATTAGGTTCTTAATTTTTATGAAGGTCATAGGAGATATACCTGTTGATTGCCAGAAAAATAAATAAACTGAACATGAGTTGACGAGAGCCTGCTCCAGGTTATAAGTGTGCTTGTACTCATATAATAAAGGTTTTTTCGTAGTTTAGTTTTATGTATTTAGGCGCTTAATGCGACCAAACAATAAGCCGTCAAACATTGAGATTCAAGGCGGGTACCTACTCTAGTTAACACGTTTTCACGTTGGATATGTTTGCCTTTCAGCGGTGAAATCTGTGGGTACAGCTGTAGGCGTGAGTATATACTCCACATATAGCCTGGAACACCTCGCGCGAGACTCTCCAACCACGATCAAGTTTATGCAGATCCAGCTGTACACGGATCGCCAGTTTATGGTGGACTTGTTAAAACGAGCCGAGAAAGCGGGATATCAGGCAATTATCTTAACAGTGGACGTCCCGGTCAAAGTCTTCGGGAGACATAAAGACAGGGCGAATTTTTCTGTTCCCAAGCATTTGAAGGGATTTGCTAATTTCCCTAACAGCNCCAATGGAAAGATGAATTTTCATGGAGGGTCTTGACAGAACGCGAAAGGAAAGATCATTTTGAACATAGAGCAACGAACCAAATGCGTTTTTCAGTCGGGTACATTTCTTCTCCAAAAGATAGAGACAAGAAAAAGTATAAAGTTGACTTGAAACATTTGGCAGTCACACGAAACTGCGTATATGGCCAGCATTTGATTCGTTTGTCATGGTTTTTCAGTGGTAAGTGTATAAATAATCAGCGTGTTTGAATTTAATCTTATTCATTAGCAGAAAAATCGACATTGAGGCCCCAAATGCATTCTCTTCGTTCTGATTCTTAAAAGAAAAATAAGCGACCACAATTTTCCATCTTGCTACCAAAAATTTTGGTTTGTGTTTTGCTGTCAAGGAAAAATTTTATTGACACTTTTTGGTGACCAAATTTTTCCCTATGGCGACTGAACAAAAATTTCAGTTGCCAGTTGGTGCCTGCCTAAAAAAGTTAATTTTGGACCCTGCCTATTCTCAGTTTTATGCCAGAAACAATCCAGTTCAGCAATTTCCCACTCAAAAAATGAATTCCATACCACTAAAGTGCTAAAGGCGCAATTTTCGAAAATGACTGCTGCTGGTGACATTGACGCGCCTGAATCTTCTTCCTCAACTCCTACTACTGTGAGAAAATTTTGAAAATCTTGGCCCAGGTGATTTTTATGACAAAAATTTTGTGATATTTAGGAGATTTTTTTGAGAATTTCCAGAAAGATATTTAGGAAATTTTACGTCATATTTGTGGAAAGACCTACCACTCTGTCATAATAGATAAACCAACAGTACAGGTATTTCCTTAAAATCTCAGCTATTAAAATTGCTTTATGAATGGGAGGAGTCCTTTGAATTCTGTGTTGTTAATAACAGCTTTAGACTTAAGATACCACAGTTCTTGTGTTGCATTATTTGGGAAAGATCGATACTTTACAACACTGGTAGCTCAAAGCCGCGCTATCAAACTCAGTTAAAAAATACATCCAAAAGCAGTCTCAGTCAGTCTTCATTTTGAAGCACATGGAGATTATGACAAACGACGATAGCAACTTTTCTATTATTATGTTTATATTAGTAATCCTGAAGAGCATGGATTAGCGTGGTAGAACTCAACAATTTCTCGCGCGCACAGAATTTCTTGTGTCGCATGGCCTGAGTGTAAGTGTAGATCATGAAGTATGAGTCTCCTCACAAAGCTACGACGCAAAATCTATTTTAGCACTTTCTCTCCGATCTTTTACAACATAAGTACACGTCTATTTGTATTAGAAACTTACTACTCCTTTGTTCCGAGCTTGGACGCTGGAAGTTCCCCTGAATCTTCTTCAGCTGTTCCGTCCGCCATGTTGGATTTAGGCGCAAGCTGTCATCAGCGGGTTTCCCCAACTTACCGTGAGAGACTGGTTGTTATCAATAATGGCGGATGGACTGGAAGGCACAGCTCGTGAAGAAACAACGACTTTAAGCAAGAAAATATCAAAACGAAGCCTCAAAAGACTACAAGTACGTGAAAATATGATGTCAATTTATGGATCTTTCCAGAATCATCGAAATCCATGGATGAGATAAGGACAATCCGACAGTATAAAGAATTACAACTGTACAACCCTAGCTAGGGTCCCTTTTTAGACTGACCAAACCTGGATCCATTGATTGCCGTCCATAGTTTGTCGTAATCGATCGCAGATTTGACCGAATTCTTGAAGACTGGTTGTGGCCGAAATTCTGTCTTTTGAACTGCTCTTGTTCCTGGTTTTGACCGGGGTAGGAGAATTGTGGTGGGGGGTGGACTTTTAAGCAATTTAAGGCTTACAATTTTTCAGGACAGAAGAAAAGCCCTCAGGCCCCTTTCATGAGCCTTCCAGTACAGAAAACTGTGCATCTTTTCAATGAAGGGGATTGGTGCAAAGATTTTATTGTTCTTAACATGACAACACACCTTTCAACCTGTAGAAACTGTAAATATGAAGAGTCTGGTCATAAGACATTGAGATCAACTGAAATATTAGATTTGGGGTAGATATTGAGAAGAGCTTATTTTTAGAGGAGTTTTACAGCTTGGGTGTTGACATACATGTGGTTAAGAAAACCAACAGTATAATCATGCTTTCCTGACTTTCCTGGAACTTTTGTTTCTTTCAGACTGAAGCTGCTTCAAAGTTGAAATGCAAATTATGTCCCAACAAGAAATTTAGCTCTCTGAAAATGTATGATGACCATATGATATCGAAAAAGCACAGAAAAAATGAATTACGGAAAGATACTGTGGGGGTTTGGGTTTGCCAGGCCTGTGATCTAGTGCTGAGCTCACAGTCAGAGTGGGTGAGTATTGTATGTTTTGAAGTTCTACAGGTAATCAAAATGTAAACCTAGCAAAATACATTTTGAGTTAGTAGGACTTTAAATCAGCAAATGTGGCATCTAATCAAATAGCATTATTTGACCTTTTTTCTGTATATTCTAGAGTGAGAAACATTGGTGGTAACCAGCTCGAAAGCCATTGGTTACTTTGGTTACCACGCACAATATCTTTTTAGTCTTTTCCCTACCCATATGTTACAAGTATGTCTCTTTTTTTTTTCATGTGCTATAATACTAACTTAAGTAAGCACTGTAAATAGTGCACAATAAAGATGTTGAGATGAGTTGAATGAGCTAATGTTCAATGTAAAGGAGAATTCAAGACATCTGTTGAATGTGGTGCAAAGTCTGATAATAATAGCTAGTGAATTACTCCCTTAAAGTGTTTTCTTATCGTTGTGATCTCTAGGGAAAGCATCTCTGTGGTCGTAGGCATCATGAAAAACTCAAGGAGTGGAGTGTAACACTGTTTCCAACTACTTATCCAATCACGGAACGAGAGATAGATCTCCTGGATGACTCTCATTATGAAGAAATAGAAGATGAATAGTGGATTGGTGAATTAATAACTAGCAGAGTTCAAAACTCAGATGCAAGAAGATCGAGTGAACTCGTCAGTCTCAAGATTGAAATTTTAATTCCCCTTACTTATTATGAGAAATTTGGTTTCAATATGTAAGGAGAAGTATGGTATTGATCGTTCTTGGAGATGCTGGTGATGGATTGTACGTTTGGGTTGCGACGAAGTTGCGTTGAAAACAAAACGGAAGGAACGAGGACGACCGCGAAGCTAGATTCCAAATGGAGAAAAAAAGAACAGTTCTTTCCTGGAAGTGGTGGCACTGAGCACTGAGCGAGGGATAGACTGTATTTTGAAGCTGCTCTTGTTAGAACTCAAATTGCTACCATAAACTGAAAGATGAAACAGAAACTGAAATAGACATGTAAATAAAAAAATAAATTTAGTTCGAAAGTAGTTTGCGATTAGTATGATCTATGGCGTCACGCTGTCAAACTTCCTCCCATAGGTCCGGTTATGTGGAAGTATGCTTAAATTGACAAATATAGTTAAATCATTGCACTGATCTCTGTTTCCGATGTTTTCTGTACCCGAGAGGCGAACTCGATATCTTCGGAGTGATTATCAACTTCGACCCAGGCAGTGATATAAATATCCAAAGTCACGAAATAATCTCTTAGATTTGTATGGCGAGGTCCAGCGCAGAAAAATCGCCTCAAAACAGCACGACTAGATTTTTTCTCTTCCTGGAATCCCCATTTCGAAAAAGCCATTTCTGATTTGACCGTGACACACGTGAACCGCTGTCGCTGATGGACGTCATCAGGTGTAAGATAGTTGTATACGGATTGATATCAATACCTTGTGCAAGTTACAAAAACATTTAGCACTTTTAAACACGATACATCCCTTACCAGATTACAAGACTCAAAATCGAAAATGTGGTGTTTGTTATTTTGTTTTCTTGGCGCACCTGTAAACTAGCTGGTGCGTCCGATTGACTCTGCTTACCAAGTCTATGGGACGCAGCGTTACCATAGTTAAGTGTGCAACCAAGGAAAACACACTATGTCTTTGTGTTTGAGTGGAAAGTAATCCCACTGCCTATCATGACCTATGTACGACCGCAAAGGTAGCAAAAACTGAAGGAGGAGTAACAAATTACATGTAAAATATTCGGCCTTGTTTTGTTGTTCTTGTACCTTTATTTAGCGGGGCTTTAGGCGCCCTAATACGATTCACGCACCATGTTGGCAGGTTATTTCTAGCCCGATATCCGAGATTATTTCCTGTGGCTTGTTACATGGCTTGACAGGGGATATAAGTTTATTTATGCCGATATTGGATACTACATGTAGTCTTATATTATTTCAGTTGCGAGAGCCCTTGAGATGGCTTTTATCGGATTTGCCTTTTTTGCCATGTATTGTTACAGCTGGTTCATACTGGAGAGGACTTGACAAAGCTACCGAGTTATTAATTTCCTCAGCTTTAATAATGGCTCTCATTTCAAATCTTTGACTTTCTAACAAGGTTCGGGCTTTTCAAAGATGTCGACACACATGCTTGTCAGCACTTTCGCTCCTTTTGAACTCGCGCGGCCATTTTTTCCTCGAGGTTTTCTTTCGCGTCACGCACGACGGACTAAGCGAAAGAGGGACTACTCCCGAGTCTACAGAGGCTTAGAGGCCTGTAAAATGTTTTCTTTTGGGGTCTTCATGACATTGAAACTTCTCAAGTTTCTGTAATCCATCTTCTTTGTGATAGTCCTTTCCTAATCCCCAGCCTGGAGGCATAAAACGTCATTTCTCTTTTAACCTTTACTTATACACAAGACCTCGTTTCTTGTAAGATCTTTTTTACAAGAATGTTAAAGCTGAAATTAACCCAAATTTTGAGAACATACCATCATGAACACATTTTAGATTGAGTGCCCGTTTGTTTTGACAAATTTTGAACTGAATGACTATATGAACTCTGGTAAAGTCTTTAAAACGTGAGTCCGATACAGTCTAGATTTTTAGTTTAAAATATTTGAAGATAAATTAACGATAAGCTTGCCTTATTGCATAGTTAATTGTGGTCATTTCAGAACATTCTCGGTTGTATGATCGACTTTGAACTACGGAGAAACTTAAACGAGTGGAAATGGTCACTATGAACATTGATTTCAGAATGAAATGGTGAAAAAAAAAAACGTTAGCACGTTCAGTGTCAGACCGAAAATTAAACCTTCAATTACACACAAAAGAGTGGACACATTGACCTGTGTACACCTGTCTAACCTCGGGCAATTGATCTGATAATTGTTTCATCAACAGAAGACAATGCAAGGCGCCCAGGACCAGGCGGAGCAGGGAATGCCTTCAGAATTTCTCCATGCCGGGTCTACAAGTACAATGTATTTTGATTGGTTTAAACTTCAATGGAAATACACTTTCAGGCTAAAGCTACCAGAAAAAGGGCCGACACGGAGGTGAAAGCCGTTATGTGAGCTACATTATGCCCCGACAAAGGATGAGGTTTTCGAATTTGTTTAGTCCGGGACAATTTATAAATTTTGACATGTAGATGGATGCATGGATGGTAACACTGAATGGTATTTTGATCTATTTTTGCTTATCTCTCGTCGTTTGATAGGATATAAGGAGCTTCCAATTTAGAGAGCAGATTAAGCAGTGCTCGAAAAAAAACTTATTAAAGAAGGATGAAAGAAACTGATAAACTACACAGGCCTAGAATTTGGATAAAAAGGGAAGGCCAAGTTCAAAGATTTATGAGGGCAGTAAAATTCTCAACTTTAGCAGATAAAATCCGTCTCTTTTACGTGTATGATAACTAGGATATTATTTTTAACCAGGGCCTCAAAATAAACAAAAAAGAACTTTGTAGTATATGTCAATCGATATTCCCCAGGGGATCGTCACTGCAAGCCAGCTCCATAGTCCCGGGGCGGGGGGTACTTCCCTAAATTTCGGATAGGGGTATGTCGCGAAGGGTCTGAAACTCTGACTCTATTTAAGCGGGATGAAGCAAATGAAAATCGGTACCCTATTTAAGGCTCGAGAACCTCAAAAACCCTACCCTATCCCGAGGCACATACCTATATAGCCCATATAGAGGAGTACCCCCCTCCCGGGCAAAGTGAATAGTTTTTCTTGGTTGTCTCTTCTGTTGAAAGATGTGCTTGATGTATGAGATGAAAAACTGCACTGGTCTTCATACATAAATGCTCCCCATGATTTGATTTTGTAACCCGGCACAATTAAAAGACAATCATCTTAACATTGACTGACTGTAAAATGTCAGACCACAAGAAATTTTGGAAGGGTCTTTTTGTCCGATCACTGAGTTAAGGCGTCCAGAATTTTTGGGATTTTCTACAAGCTCCCTTGTTGCTTTAGCTGTTAGGCTAAACAGAGCTTTCACGCCTTTGAAAGGGAATTATAGGTCAAGATAACAATTTTAAATACTTTCGAAAGCCGCGACCTTACATGTTACAGGTACGCTTTCTGAATATGTCAAAAGCATCACGCTGAAACGTTTTACGCACCCTCTAAAATATGCTGAATTTTAACTGAAAATTATACCCAGCGCATATCACCTACATATGATTACAAAATCTTTCGTGTTGGGTGTTATCTGCCATCAGTTACAATCGTACACATGACTCTGTGAAACTCTGCCGGCATATTCGTGCCGGCATATATTGTATTACTATAAATTTGAAAATTTGAAAAACAATGGATGGAATGAAGGAATATTTTGAGCCTTTCTTATCATCTATGATGTTGTTATCAGATCAACATCGAAAATAGATCGAGTTGTCAAAATAAAACGCCTGATCACAGGCTAAAGATTCTTTAAGATTATTTTCCACGCGGGGGCGGAGGGGGGGGGGGGTTACTCCCTTATATGGGTTATATGAGTATGTGTAGCCCCGGTACATGGTTTTTTTTTAGCGGCTTTGGTCAGAAATAGTGTGTCGATTTTGGTCTCAAATAGGGTATCGAAGTTTTGGTCAGGTTATAAATAGAGTAGCGAAAATCGCAGATTTTTGTCATAAATAGGGTAAGGGTTTTGGCAAGCAGGCCGCACATCCCACCCAATTTTTCTGGGAGTACCCTCCTGCTTTGTCCACTAATCAGTTACAAACGACTTGATTTGAAACATGTTTTGGTGAAATGGCTCCCTAGTGGGCCCACATATAACTTTCAGACATATACTGATTGGATATCTGCGTGAACAGACAACAGACCCAAAGACAACAGACAGACTAGCTGAGGAGACGGAAAAAAAAAAACATAAAATGAAGTCTCCAAATTTGCCCTGGAATCCTTTGAAGCAGTTCACCTAGACATTGCACTGATTCAACTCTGATAAGACTAACGCTGCGATGCACTATGCAGACATGACATGCAACACAAAGCATGGTAAGCACGGACTCTGCAGAGGCGGAATCTATTGTCTGCATAAATTTGTTTTTTAAGAAACTAAGACTACATGTGTAACAGAGGGTGGGAATATCTTGATATTGACTTCATGTAGCTGTAAGATTCTCGATACTAACTAGCCAGCTTGCATAAGTCTAGTATTTCCATTAACAAATTACGTTTTAAGCTTGGGTTTGTGACAGATCTAAACCAGTTGTATAGAAGAGTTTTTGCGGCTGCGGTTGGTAATATTTTTATAAGTGCTAAATGCCCGGCCAAAGGCTACCTTGAAGTTCTTGTTGCATACTTCGGTCAATTGGTTACACGCTAGCTTATCGAAAAACATGAACTCTTGTCAGTTACCAAGACCAGATCATTCATAAGTGGATTACAACTGTGAGAACGAGACTCTCAACTTTCAACTTTTCCAAAGGCAGACGGGCAGACAGTCGTAAAGTCGTCTGGGAAATTAAGCGCACAGAATTACGTAACTCATTACGTAACACAGTGGTAAACAGTCCGGAAATAACCATGTGAAGTATCAGCGAAAAGGTCTTCTTTGTTTTCAGTTGCTGATTGTTGACAGAAAAACCACAAACACATTCTTTGTTCCGCTTAATAAGGAGTGGTCTGTACAGTGTTGGTTGTCATAATAACAATAAATTTTTAGAGAAAATATGGACTTTATTGCATGGTGCAAGGGTCTTCTACAATATTTAACATCTTAATATTGTTAACAACTTGTCGTGGCAATTGAATGTCCTACATGCTTCAAACAATATGCTCGCTCTTCTTCAAACTACGGCGAAAACTATATTACTTTTCTCGTTGGTTTTCGTCGATTTCGTATTAAAATACATACACCGGAAGTTGTCTTGGAAACGTACACCAGAGAAAACAAATATATATATATCTGTGAATGGTGAGCTCGGAAGTGGCTATGTAAAAACATATTTACACAGAAAGTAAGACATTTAGAATAGATAAACTTTAACAACAAGGGGTTCGCACTTGGAAAGCTCTTGACGTGTTGACTTTGAACTAGAAACATCACATGACATGTTTATGTTCTTAAAAATAAGAGTTTCGCAGTTTCAATAAAAAATAACGAGTTTAGACGTGATTTTTTTTCACATTTTTACAACAAAAGAAGAGTTTTTCCTCGCACGATTATGAGTCTTCCTGTGCTTGGCTAAATGATCAGAGCGAGAAAACCTTTTGTCGCATAAATCACAAATGAATGGTTTGATCCCGCTGTGAGAGCGCTTGTGACGAGCCAGTTCATCCGATCTCGAGAACCTCCAGTTACATCCTTTCCACGTACAAGCGAACGGTTTTTCTCCAGTATGGCGTCGTATATGCGCTTTAAGATGCGAACTCTTTGTATACATCTTACTACAGCCCGGAAAACTGCACTTGTACTCCCGCGTGGGCACGCGACGTCTCGCGCGCTCCGCGCGCACGCCCGCCTGTTTGCTTGCGCCTGGCTTGGTGAGCGGGAGGCCCATCACTGCTGTTTGACCTTCTGGCCCTGGATATTGATATCGAGTTGCAAGCCCTTCCAAGTTATCAGAAATATCGCTGACTGCATCGCTCAAAGAGGCTGAATCGCTGCTGGAATCGCTGACGTCAGGGAGCAATAAACTTGCCGACATTACGAGGTTATCTTTCCCGCACGTGCCCTTCTCGAATTCAAACGTTTGCTTGTAGTACGAGTTAAACACTGAGGAAATGAGGTGCTCCTTCAGCTCCCCTACCTCATCGCAATCTGGTCCCAGGAAGATGTGTTCATCCATAGAGTCCACAATGCCCTTAGAAAACAGGTAATCAAGGTAGACATCTACTGGACACGATAAAGTCATCGAGTCAACGTGTTGATCAAGCATACCATCTGTGCTGCTCTGCAAATATCCGCGTAAAGGATATTGCTCTTCTAACTCGGTAAAATCCAAAGCGCTTGCATCCATGAATTCTTCAAACAGCAGTGCGGAATCCATATTTGGTTGTTTCCGGGATGCGTTCTCGTCGCTGCAAAGCAAAGTTTGAATTGTTTTTTCCTGACCCGTTCAAACTTTCTCTTCCCAGTGCGAGGAGCGCATGTGGTGTGTTACTCTGACTTGATGGGTTTAAATACCCAGTGGTCGTTAGCTCGCTGAGTTGATTCTATTGAAGCGTTTCTATTGGCTTAGCAAACTATCAACTAGAATCAACGCTGATAAGTATCTAACAGAAACAATTCACTTCCGATCACTTGATTGGTCGCAGACTTCCAATTCGTAACAACTTGGAATTTTGCTACGAAATAGAAAAGTACACAAGTTTTGCTACTTAAGATTTATCCTTTGACCTTGTGACACGGATTCCTTTGTTTCCTTTTTCATGCCGAAACGTGTCTTGCTGCATTGTGAAAGTGCTAAGTGTTTTGTAGTTGCTTTACCAAATAAAAACACAGTCATCGAAAACATTGTCCAGATTCCTGTTCCAGCAAGTATTGTTGTGGAATTGACTTAATTAAAATTTATAACACTTCTCAGTAGGTGCGAAAAACGGATCAGTGGTGTGAAAAATTAGTATCAGCCTTTATGCTGTGGTATCATCTTATGGTACTTTAGGCAAACTGAATTGTTCCATCTCGCACAGAGGTCAGAATAGACATTCGTGGTCCTTAAGTGTCTTAAAACTGCGTTTCCTTGCACCCTTTTATTTATCCAAGTCAGTTTCCCTATTGAATTGATTTTAAAAAAATCCCATACGACGACACACTTTCAATTTATCTTACGACTGAAATAATTGGATTTGCATGAGTTTTCTTGAGTTTACTCAAATTCCTCGTAATTTATAAAGCCCGTAAGCAAACAAAACAACTGTTATTTTTGTTGCTCTCGACACGCGCGTCGATAAACGAACGAAACAGGTCTTCATAATTCCCGTGTATCATGACTGAACGCGCGATACGGCCAGTGTTCGTTACATATGTATCGAATCTTATCGTCTGGTTTCGAAGAGAAACTTCACGTGGCCGACCATTTCAATGACTCAAAACAGGAACCTTACTTGTCATCACTCCACAAATGGTTCACTTCTACTTACAGTGTGTTACCTCCCTGGGTTAAACGGACCTAGCGATGTCTATGACGTGAAGAAAATCTAAAGATAACAAAGTGTTTCCAACTTGGGTTATTTGGTCAACAAATCTCTTGGGCCTTGACGTCGGCACGCGAAAAAAATATTGAAAGTTTAAAATACGTGATGCAAAACGACATTTTGTCAGTTGGTAAGTATAGCGTCATTAGGCAGATATCATGCTAACACTGAAGCTTACGCTGACATAAATTTCAGATGAAAATTCGACAGATCCTGCATATTAACATACAGGCGATAGTAACATCATGTTGAGTGTTTTAAAAACTTTACAGTTCCAATGTAAACAAACAAATCCTCTTTACCAGCCACCTTACATTTGTTAAAACACCAGTAAGGAGAATTTAATATTATATCAAGCCTCCTCTTTACCGCTGATATCAACATATAGATTCTCTTAAACATTAGACGTTCTAGTTGGGAGAATATATTTCCTGTAGCAATCATGTGACCTGTCGGTGTGCGGTTATAATACTTTGGCGAGATAATCAACTGTAAGTATGCAATCTTGTCTGGACTTGTTCCAGAGTTGTTGTTGAGTCTTTTCTTTTCTTTTCTTCAGCTAACCTAACCTGCTTAGCACACGTTTCCTTTCCATTTTCCAGGCCGGAAGATCGAGCAAACAAGTCACAAACGAGCGCGTCTGAATGAACAAAAAGCGCAGAGAAGTCGGCTGGGGGAGAACAAAAAAAGAAGGAGAAGCACTCGCTTGCAGTTTCGTTCCCTTAGCGCGGTTTTGGAAAAGAACGCCTGCTAGGCAAGCTACAGCTAACCTGATTTCCTCAACTCCTCTCCTCAGAATTTGTGCGGCGTTGTAAAACCTGATAGGAGGGTTTTCTCCTCATCGGTGCTTAAAATATTTCGTGTCGCACTCTCAAGCTTCTTGTGAAGTCTTTCGCAAGCAGCCCAAGCGACAAACTATATGTCCTCGGCAACAAGATGAAATAAGCTGGAAACTCTGTATGCCTTTAGTATATAAAAGATGAAGGAACGCAATATAAACCGGATTATAATGAACCTTTTGATAAACAGCGAGAAACAACATAAAACGAGCACTGTGATATTGACAATAGATACCGGGGTTTGAGAAGGTGAACCCCTAGACATAACAAGGGCGATGTTTGGATAGTATCACGAGACAGCTCTATCACAGCAACCGGGTTATCAGTCAGTTATAGTACTCTTGCAAAATGCTTGAAAAAAGAGATAGAGAGACCATTTGATTACGCGTGAATATGAATTAGACAACAAATGAACAGGAATAAGCAATATGGTTTAAAGAACGGAGCAAGCCCGGTTGAGAACGGAGATGAATAAATAGATCGTCAAGACGTGGCTCGTTTTTCAGCAATCCTTATTCAGATAGCTACCTCTAATTCCTTATATTTTTTCAAATTCAATATGTCAACGTTTTTTAAGAAATTCTTCAAGATTCACCTATGTACACTGTACATGTGTCAGATGTGTGTGGATCTACGTCAATCGAGTAAGACGCTCTCCATACTAGGATGTCTCTGGTTGGAAAACGCAGTAAAGCTTGTTTTGATCCTTTTATTTAAATTACTGGTGGATGAAACAAATTCGCGTAGATTCAGAAAGGTTTTTCCCCGGGGCTTTTCAAGGTCGGGGAAAGCGCACGACAAGCCAGTGGGAGGGTAGTGTAGGGAGGCATTTTGCTTCTTATTTTCCTCACTGTCCTGTGATCATGGATGAACGTGGAAATAATTCCTCGGTGCAGCTTGTAAAAGTCAGGACGTTTTCGTCTTTTTTATCAGCTGCACGATCTAAGTCTTTTTTTGTTCACGTTTTGAGGTGGAATTGCATAGAAATGATCAAGATTCAACGTTAAAGTTCGTGACTGTGGCTAAAATATTTTTTTCCGGTGTAGCAGATCGGAAACAGAATTTAATAAGTTAAAAGTCCCCTGGATAGAGAGACTTTTTAGTGCCAGGGATGAGAGGGTAGGGAGAATAAAGAGAGGGTAGGGACGGAAATGGATCTTTCTCTCTCTGTTAGTGGGGTGATTAACCGGCAATAGAATGGGGGAAATGCGCAATGCCCAGACGGAAGTAAGCCGATTTCTTAGCCCAAGCGTGAATGGTTTGGCCATGTATTTTCTGCGAGACATGTCCGCATTCTTATCGACTTCTTATCGCGCTTATCGCGACAACGACATGATATTCTGGATCTTTACCTATTGTTCGGGGTCACGCGTTTTACACGTGACATTGACCAATCCGCAAACATTTGGATTTGAGTTTCACCTGAGGTCATTATCATGTGCATTTAGTAGACGATCGGTCCACAAGCCGGTTGCTTTACTTTTTGCTGTTACACCGCGCTGACGAGACCCAACCAAGGTCGAAACAGCTGTCCACGGTTGCAATTCTTGGCTTTCAGTTTGGACTCTATCATGTCGTTGTCCCACTATGCTTTCTACGTGGTAATCAGCCTTGCTTCATTGTTATGTTTCTAGTTTTGGCTGATCAGATTTTTTACAGATCCTACGTATACCGGTAGCATTTTCGTTTGCGGTCCCTTTCATCATTTTGTTTAATTTTTGTTTGTTCGTGAAGGGTCTTAGAAGACGCTAAATGCAAGTTAAAGAACATTTTGAGTTCCTGTTTTCTAAGGTATTCTAACGCATTAATAAATAACAAAAATTCTAGCGTTTTACATTTCTCTCTGACTCCTAGCGCCCCCTTCAGCGATAGCTCCTCTTTTGACCTTCTCGGGCCACCATTTTAATGCCACGCATATACTTGGAAATTCTGAAACGTCCTCTACAACAAAACGAGGACCCCTGTCAAGCTTAAACATCGTGAAACGTCAAGTTCTTAGAGGGTCTTACATCTGATGAAACTAAAACTTCAGTAGGATTGGTAATCATTTAATTTAGGAAAATGATGATGTCACATGAAAACCGGCAATAGAAGAGGACAGGGGGGGGGGAGGTGTGAGAAGAAAATAGATGACCAGTCCCAAAACGTTTGTCCCAGGTTGTATTTCAGGAAATAATAACGATAAGATTTTACCGTTACAAATATTATGAAGTCCTCTTATGTGATTATTGCAAAATATGAAATCCAGCCAAAATATCACTTAATATTGAAAATAAAGAAAATGTTATTTTAAGAGGAGGCCTCCAATCACCTAGTTTGGGTTTTCCGGAGCTGGAGGGTCCTCTGGAGAATAAAGGTCTAAAATACATCTAAAGCCTAAAATACGTTACATTAACACACATATATGTATCATACAAAAAAATTATTGATGTAAAACAGTAAAACAGTTCAATTTTGTTATCACAGCAGTTTCTTCCTGGCTAGGAAAGGTAACAAAAATGGTCTTTATTAAATATATAATTCAAAACACTCGGTTGAATTTATAATAAAAAAGGCGCAATAAATAGACAGGTATAAATACATGCAATGCGATTAAATCTAAGTAGAAAAAAGGAAATGGCTTAAAATGAAGAGTAATATTAAGTAGGATAATTGCCAAAAGCTAGGAAACTGAAACTAAACCCGGAACCCAAACTTTCCACTCCCGCAATGGGAAACGAGTCCTTAACTACGATAAACATCATTTATTTCAGTAGCAAAATATTTCTTGATGTGCCGCAGATTCTCAGTAACAACATGACAGAAATCACGGTAATCGAGATTTGTATCATCATGTTTGGAATTTGGAATACCCAAATTCTAAATTTAATATCGATGCATGCACACTTCATTACACCGCTGTAACGAGTTCAATACAGCTCTTCCATCGGCTATCCAGGTAAACAAATCACATTTTTTTGTAGTATGGGAAAGTAATATGTCAAGTGCCAGACGGAAGAGTTAAGAATAGTACAGTCGGTAATTTATTTTCTTAGAACAGTTTTGCTTTATGGTTTACTGACATTAATTGTATGCCGGATTGCTAATCAGTTTAAACATGTCAGTGAAAATAAAGAGAAAATTAAGACTGGCTAAAAAAAATTCTTCAGTAAGTGTCTCAAAATTAACCACCGATAGGTCTTTGCACTAAAAGAACACCGAAAATTATTCCCATACTCTAAAAGAATATATGATGTTAAGAGGGAAATGTGAATTTCCAATGCTAGTTTTTTTCCGACTATTAACTCATCTGTCGAAAGTTTCAGTTTCAACTGCCCAACGCTTTTGAACTTTATGTCACGAGATGAAGGAAACAAAAACATTTTCTTTAAGGAGGAACGAATAACTGAGCTTTAAACTGATTATTTTTCATTTTCCTCGAACACATCTTTGTTCAAGGTACGTAACAGAAATTGTATTATTTTCAAACATGGTTTACATTGGTTCTGGTGGCTATGACGCAATTTTTGGTTTATCGTAAATCAAATTCGCAAAGTACTCTTCTTATTTAAAACAGTATATTTGTTCAGTTTCTCGCTAACTGCTCTAAACGAAACTAACACTCAATGATGACGAGGCGAACCAGGAAGCTTAAGTTAACCAAGATTTTGCGAGCCTGGAAACGAGATTTTAAGCTTCATTTAAAGGTAAACCAAACGTTAGATTGTAATGTGAACGTTTCCCAGATTTAATTTGAATCACAAGTCACTTTCCATTGAATAACGTAAATGTCTTTTGTTGACGCGTAACCCCTGGACAATAATTTACCCAATAAACAAGGTTAATAATACTCATCCTTCGTACAACCGGCGGTAGATGGGCTAAGAAAACGTGCCCTATTTGTGCATGAGAAATACAATATATTATCTTAGAAAAGATATGTAACTTAGCTAGCCTCGCCTAACTCAGAATAACCATATATTTTGTCCCCACTTCACAACTAACACACACTTAATAGGCAAATAAGTTTATTTGAGGAGCGCCTGGCAAGAACCAACCCTAACGCGATATAGATATGTAGCTTAGCTAGCCTCGCCTAGTTCAGAGTAACGATATCTACTTCTCGTCTCAGATGACGCAAGATTCAATCCGGGCGTTTGTTCACGAAAACTTTGGCAAGGATTACTTCCCAGTCTATCACGGCCAAACTAATATCGTTACACCATTGGCGCTAATCGTGAAGCGGAAGCGGGAGTGGTGGAAGCGACCTTTTGGTAAAGCGGAAATGATCATTCTGGGCGGACTGGAGAGTTACATCGTTGACGAGAAGGAAAATCACTTTCACAGTTCTTCAGAGTCCAAACTTGTAAAAGAAAGTAAGAGTTTGCAAAAAACTGAGACAGGAGAAGTAAGCAGGTACGTATTCTACGCCCGGGGATGGGACAGGGGTGCTTGTCGCACCTTTTAGGATTACACAAGCGGTTTGGTTTCTGTTTTGGTGTTGAGCCTCAAAAGGTCCAAAGCGGGATCTTTAGCGGTACCTTTAAGGAAATCAAGCAGAAAAATATGAGAGGGGACAATGTGTTGTTTTAGAATTGGTACCTCTAAATTAAAGGGAGAAAAAAAAATTCAAGCCACGCCCACAAAATAGGATCTTGGTACCTTTTAGGGGTTCTTTTCAAAATTTCTGGCGACCACCCCCGTCCTTTTTGTATGGGAGTCTCCTCCCGGATTCTACGTCGCTTATTTTATTTTCATGGTTCATACGTCGACAGTGTAAATCCGCTCCAAAGTGCTGAGGTTTGTTCTCGTTATTTTGTAAATTCTTTCATCGGTGATTGTATACCAATATATTATGGCTTGTAAATAGTTCTTAGCTTGCACACGTCATTTACGCTTTTTATTTACGGTTATTGTCAAGTATGTGGCTAACCTCGCGATTTCAATTGCAAGCGGTATTATTTTTAACGTCATGATTATTTGTATCTCTTGAATAAAGTATTGTACTGTATTTGTTCTATGCCACAGGAATCTCGATATAGCCGTACAGGGCCTGGACAATGCGGGAGTAGAACTGAAGTTCAGCGACGTTCTTGGTGACCTAGAACTCGGACAGCTGACTGAAGAATATTATAAGGATGCAGAGCTCCGTGAAATATTATTAAACACTGCGTTAGATCCCGAAAAAATGGCGTCTCTAGAAGGTCATCATCTGCTTCTTGTAACGTCAGTGGTATATAGCACGAAATTTGTTTTGCAAGGCAGCAGAATGCATCAGGTATTATGGGTTACTCAGGCCCCGCTCACACTAGGCCGGAGGAATCTGAAAACGCAGCTTCATTTCCCCGGTTAGGTCTTCAAGTTCCTCCGGCGTAATGTGGACGGAGTCAAAGTTAATTTTTGTCAACGTGACCGTTTACGTCAGTCGGTAAACCTATACCTAACTGAGCTAGCCTGCGTAGCTTGGCGGTTTTTAAGCAATTTGGCGGCCCTAAGAAAGCAGGATAACATTGTAAATCAGCAAACAGAACTGAGTTGTTTTAAGAGAAGGATCGCTTATATCGCCTCTTTTCCCAGTAATTTGACTGTGTTTTGTAACGCTTTTTATACCATGCCATAGAAAATAAGCTCGATGGTATCACACCTAGTCTTCCCATTGCGCGCTGCATTGATCGTGTTGGCATGGTATAAAATCTTAGTGAACACTTTCTCGTGGTATAGAGGTAGCGGTAAACGGTAGCCATGTTGCATGGCAGAAACAATAGGTTCTTTTTCCTATGGGAAAAAATGATCTTTCCAATGCAAAACGTTTTCATTGGTCCTGCCATGCGACATGGCTGCCGTGCAAAACGGAATATCCCAGTTGTCGCTTGCATTTTCCTGCAATACACACGAACCTTTAAATACAAGTGACTCGTGGGATATTCTATGGTATAACACTCCAAATCGTTGTATAACTAGTATTTGTTTTTCAGACAACTTTTTCGGGGAATATCCATACACCTCCTGAAGCGTCGCCGTTCCTCGGCAATCATTCCTTGGTTCAGGCACACGTTACTAGGAGGTCTGTCCCTCCCCCAATGGTACAAAGATTGTCTCGCGCTCCGTTCCTGTTCAAGTTTTGCCGTGTGGTCTACGAAAAAGAGCGCAAGGTGTTACGTCTACAAGACGGGGAATTTGTTGGCAGACATTTTCGCAGTGCTCGCGGGGGACCTAGCGTTGACTCCACGATACCCGACGACGAGGCAGTGTTGCATCTTGAGATGGAAGAAACTTCAGTTCAAGGTAAATACAAAGTGTGCTTGTATAGCTCTCGCCGGGAGCTCTCGTTAGATTACAGAATACACTATTTGGGTAAAGTACGAGCCAAAACAAATTTAATGCATTTATCACGAGCATATAATGCAAGTCACGGGGCCGAATAACTTAATTAGTTAACGCAAGAAAAAACATCGTAAATACAAGTTTGATCAACCATACAAATTAATCCTGGCCAAACGGACTCGCACGTAAACGCAAGTTGAAAACTTTGGTCTACTTGAGACTCCGTTTGGCCAGGCCTGCGTGTACTTAAGTGGACTTGCGATGACTTGCACTCACTTTGGTTGAGATCAAATTTGCACGCAAGTCGAACCAAGTTTTCATTCACTCGTATCTTTTCATGCACCTGGGCAGAGACGGGCAGTGTGAGAGGAAATTTTCCAACAAAACAATCGACAATGGCAACAACTAGGCCTCAGGTTCGCAATAGCTCCTGCGGGAACATCGCAGGCGTAAGTCCAACAAGATAACCAACCTTGGCAGTCCGCTGCACTGTACTTCCAACAATTTTTGTCCTTCTTCGATGAAAATTTTATGCTAATAATTTTCTTTTCATGCAGATGGAAATCCTTTAACAGTGGAAGATTTTGCGGGGAAAGTTGAAGACGTCAAAAAACTTCTAGTCACTGAACAAACCAGTGCTCACCGAAAAGAGCTCATTTTGATGTATCTAAACTGGGTAAATATTTAATTATTACACCATGAATACTAACAACAAATGAGAAGTTGAAAAAAAGGCCGCGCCGCTACGTTCGCAAGCGTAAGAAATATTTTTGTCAGTGACAAGCCCGGGAAAATATTAAAGGCCGCGGCAAGGGCGGGAAAATTAAGTATCCCAGTTTGTCGTATCCCTTTTTGTCTCCTGATTGGCCAAAAATACAGCTCCTGATTGGTTTCAGACGTTCAAGGGGGTCTGGATAGGGTTTAACTGATAGTTGAGCAACCTCGTTCTTAGCAAGGGAAACAACCATGGGAACGAGGTTGATAGCTGAGAACAGGCTAGGGTCAGAATTGTGACTGTCACGCGCTTTTTGTATGACAGCTTGGATCAGATATCTACAAAAGCTGAAATTTTGTCTGAAAGCTGAGCAATTCCCAAAAATTTAACTTAATACTGCAGCACTTCCTAAAACTCACCCGGAGAGCAGGAGTGTGAATAGGGAAATTGCATAACTATATAACTAGAACTACGGAAGTAGAATAAAGGGTTGATTTATTTGTTTTCTTAGTTTAAGCAGATTTTGACCAAAGACAAAAAACAGTTCCTTATTGAGAGACCGCTGACCAAGAGTGATTGTGAATTTCTCCTTAACGTTGGTATTACCGCAAGACCAAAGCAGCTAATGCTAAGAGTGGCTTCCGCAAAGAAGGACCTCATTCAAGAATATGGCATCTTGTTAAAGCTCCTTAGTGGTAAGAATGAAATGAAATAAAACAAAAATTCCTGCGAAACAACATTAATTGTACGCCAATCAAACAAGGAACTCAAACCAAGTCTCCTTTAAATTGGGTAATTTGTAAATTGTTAAGTTTAAAACTGGCCAAAACTCAACTTGGAAAACTATTTTGCTTTTGGACGTCTTGCCCGAGTTAGCCTGCAACAAAGAAGAATTTAGCACCCAAAAATAATTCAGTATTTTCAACAGCGAGCGGTGTGGTGTAGTGGTTAAGAACATTCACTTCAGAGCGGGAGGTCGCAGGTTCGAGGTGCAGGTAGACTTGGGGGAATGACGTAACCGTACTTAGGATAATTAGACAATTCTGTCTTACTTGTAAGTAATAAAATTATTTCTTTTTTTTTGCAGAAATGTCAGAAGACAAATGGGAAGAAATTCAGAGAAGTTAATTTAAAGAATCAAGAAAATAGCAAAAATAAACTGTAACAACATGTTGTTTCGTCTGGAAACTTTTTCTTGTTTTCAGTGATTCATCTTTTTTGTTTTAAGAAAACCCCTCAATTTTTTCCTCTTTTTGCCACTTTATCAATTTTTCACTAAGCACAACAAGCACAACTAAGACGAGAAAAACTCAACTAAGATGAGAAAAACACAAGCATGCATGACGAGATTCATGAGACTCTGAAATACCCAGTAGGACATAGGTTCTAATTTCCGGTGACGTCATGGTGCTTGTGCTAATCAGATTACAAATCTGTCATTACTGCGCAATTTGTGGGTGTTTGTGGTGTATGAGCCGTTTAGCATTTGACAGAATAATTTCATGCGGTAAACCAGATCACCAACCATATATGGCCTGGTTAAAAAACTTTAAACTAAAACTGCCGATGTTTGACATCATTCTCTTTTTACCCGTTAAAGAGATGGTATACTAACATCGAGAGATGAAGTCTCAGGTACGGTGACAGTTTTACGTCTTGATAGTCACACTAAGACTACCAAGCTACTACATTTAAAAATATTAGACCAGAAAAGGTACACTTCGTTTCAAGATGGCGGCCATATTAGACTTAAAAGGCTGTGATTTCACATCATACTGTTTTTGACCCGCTCAAGAGATGGGATTCTAACATCGAGAAATGAGGTCTTAGGTGACAGTTTTATATCTTAATAGACACGAAGAGTACCAAGCTACTACATAAAAAGTTATTAGACCTGAAAAGTTACACTTCGTTTCAAAATGGCGGCCATATCAGACTTACAAGGCTGTGATTTCACATCATACTCTTTTCAGCCCGTTGAAGGGATGGGATTCCAATATCGAGAGATGAAGTCTGAAAGTTTTATTTCTTGATAGTCACCCAAAGACTATCAAGCTACTACATAAAAGTTATTAGACAAAAAAGATGCACTTCATTTTAAGATGGCCGCCTTATTGCACTAACTGAACATGGCTGTTGTTTGAAATAATCCTTCTTTTAACCCATGAAAGAGATGGGATTCTAATATCAAGAGATAAAGTTCCAGGCGACTGTAGACTGTCTTGATGTGAAGACCAAAACTAGAAAGGTACTAGGAAAAACATTTTTAGATCTAATATGTTGTACTTCGTTTTAAGATGGCGGCCATATTAAACTAACACTGCCAATGTTTGACATCATTCTCTTTTTTCCCGTTAAAGAGATGAGATTCTAACATCGAGAGATGAAGTCTTAGGTGATAGTTTTATATTTTAATATTGACAAAAAAAGTACCAAGTTACTACATTAAGAGTGATTTTCTGAGAGTGTCGAGAATCGGAAGACAGTCACGAAAAATCGATTTTTCTTTTATT